TTTATCTATGTGATTTCTGTTATTGTGTCATAAGGCTTTTTTGTTTGCTGAGGGGATACTGGTTTTGAATCTTTAGTTTTTTAATAAATTTAGGAAAAAGAGCAAAGCCAAATATTTCTCTTAAGCATCAAAGCATACAAGAAAATGCAACCCTTTTTTAAAGCTGCTTATATATTATAAATAGGGTTATTTTCCTACAAGTAAAAAACCAGAAATTATTTGCAGTTTAAAAAATCAGAACCAAAATGGCTGGCAGATTTCCTTTTTTCTGGGTCTTCTTAATATGACTGAGCATATTAACAAGTTACAGTATTACTTAAGGTATCTTAGTCAAATGTCTTTACTAGAGAAAGAAGATGGAAGGCAGTCCTTGTACACATGCAATTTCTAGAGAAAATATTAAATCTTAAGAATTCTCTGCTGAATTCTCGCTGTTTCCAAACCACTATTTCCTCTCAGGGAAAAGACATGGGTAGTGGCACATACTTCTGAAATATGTAGCTGCAGCAATTTTAAGGTGAGAAAAAGAGTGAGGACACTGGAGCTGTTCCTCCTACTCTGTGTGCTGGGAACTCACTTCTGGAAGACTTGCACAAGGTTGGCTTAAATTGCTTAAGTGTTTTCATTATAAGCAAATGAACGGTCTGAGTCTCATTGGGGACTACATATATTAAAATAAAGCACAGTTAAGCAGTCTAATAATGAACTAGAGTGTTCACTGCCTGGCAGGACTGAGCTTTACTAAGGAGTATGAGTTTTAAAACTTGAAAAAGGATGGTCAGCTGGGGTCAATGACTTATCTCCTCTGTTGGAAGAAGTATCTTTATCAGATTCACAGTGGAAAGGTGACTCTGGAGTTCTAAACTGTAGTAGCAGCCAAAACTGTTTTTTTTTTGTTTGTTTGTTTCTACAAATCTGAAAACAAGGTCAATTGGAACCTCTGAAGCTTTTATTTTTAATCCAAAGTTCAGTGATGTAATTTGTGCTTCTGCTTGCTTTCAGAGTACACTCAATGTAGGGTCAAATGCTCAGGTGACACCAACAGTGAAGCCTCACAAACCTCCTGGTCTTTTGCCTTCTGTCCTTCCTTTCTCCCACACTCCTACCCCTTGCTAATAGTATCATGAGTTTGGAATGGTGGGAATGCATTGTGTGCAGAGAACAGTGCAACCTGCCTTGTGAGTGGCAGAGTTCTAGACCAGCACTGGATTCAGATCTAATGATCATTGACAGGATGATGGTAAAGAGAGAGCCAGGAAATTCTTTGGTGCTCAGATCCTAAAAGGGAAACTTTATCTTATTCTGCTGTTGCTGCCTTTCCCAAGACTTATTTACTCCACAGAGGTTCTTTGTTTAAATCACTCTTATGTTAGTTCTGGTAGAATTGCTGGCATACCTAAATTGCAGGATGGATTGTGGTGCTGTAGGGAGGAAGTCTGTTTCTTCTGGGTTTGTTGTTTTTAACTGAGACAATTTTATTAAATTTTCAATTAATGCATTTTAGTTAGGTTATACGTTATCATAGATTATGTATGTTATTATTAAATTTAATAGATATTTTCAGTGCAAATAAATGGTAGATGTGTGCTCCTATGGTTAATGATATATTGGACAGAGTGGCATTTTTAAGATGTGCATAGATGATGAGGGCATTTTGGGAGAAAAAATGTCTTTGCCTAAACTTGTAAAGTGTATCTTTCCTGAAGTGAACCCAAAGGAGTTTCATTGACATTAAGATAAACAGACAACAGGTGTTTTATATTTTGGAAAAATAATTTACTCAGGATAAGAATCATGCCACATAAAAATAATTTCTCATCTCCTAAAAAACCTAGAAATGATCCTTGATGTAAGTCAAAAAGTCTGTAACACTTCTGGGAGAATAGTCCAGGCAAAAGAAGATTATTGTGTACAGGACAAGCCATAATAAAAACTGTCAGTTCTGTCAACCCTTCTGTCTAAGGTCTATAGAGGATTAAAAGGATATTGAACATCGTGTAACAGCTGTCTCCTGTGTGAAAGGGATCACTGTTGTGGTGAACATCAATGTACCCATTTAAAAAGCTTCATAAGGATAGGTGTGGCTGAGCCTCAAGTGGCTGGTTTGGCAGGTAAAGTGCTGCTTTCAAGGACTTGAAAGAGCACAATCTGAGGTCTAAATAGGTAGTATCAGCATTTTATCAACAAGTGTGTTTCTTGTGTGTCTTTTGCACTACTGGAATAATATGGGATACCATCAAATTTGGTATCATAAGCAACAAACTATATTTTGTTTCTATGATGTTGAGAAAATATTAATATGTAATGTGAAATTTAATGAGTGTTAACAGAGAAGTTGCAGATTGACTTTTACGTACTTGTTTTTCTAACTCTAAAAGCTCTAAGGTTTAAATAAAAATATGTTGTTGACAACATAAAACCCTTAACTAGATGTAGTTTTTCTGGGACAGTTTAATAAATTTTGAATGTTGATTAATAGTTTTGAAAACACAGCAATTTCATAATGCTTAATATGAAAAAAGAAAAAGGGAACAATGCTTAGACTTAACATTGCTGTAAATGTGTAATATTTCAAGTTTTTGTATTTCAGATTAAAAAAAACAAGTTTTTTGATTCTGAAGTGAATGGGACAAAACAGTCTACCTGATACAGCCCTTACTCAGAAGGTGCATGTTTGTTTGAAATATGAAAAATAGATAACTATCCAGATTATAGAATGGATTTCTTATGTTATTCTTATTCTTATTATTATTATTATAACATTGTTTTTGAAGCCAAAGAACTCTGAATATTGTAGAGCAATATATAACAAATGGATTGTAAAAACAAAGCATAGATTTCAAGATACTGTAAATAAATTGCCCTAGTAAAACTCCATAGACGGGCTAGTCTGTGTGGGAGGGAAGGAGCTAGTGAAAGGTATCTGGTGATGTTAAAATAAATGTATTTTTAGTAATGATATTGATTTAATAGGAACTGCATGTAACAAAGTTACTAGTAGAAATGGGTGCCATTTATTTGATTTACTTATTCACAGATTCTGTGAGAGTTTATGGGAAAGCATTTGTTATATAAATATTAAAATATAATATACGTATTCTGTATTAAAAATAGTTTTGATTTCTGATATGTCAAAAGCACACTATTTTCTACTTTTAATCACTCTATAACAGCTTTTTTTTGTAACATAAATTGGAGAAATACGATTAAAGTAACGATATACATGCCATATAAAATGAAGTGGGTGAAAGGCAGCAGTCTTTTAGGTTACATTGCAAAATGATAAGTGAAAAATTCTGTAAATTCATTAAAATGACAGGAGGAATTTAAGAGCAAGGAGAATATAATTTCCCATGAACTGCCTTGGAGCAGGCTGATCACCACGGTGCAGAGCCCAGAGTGGTACATCTGCTCTGAGTACAGAGCACTACCTGGCTGTGCTCCCACTGCTCCGTGAGGGTGTAGGAGGAAATCCCACCAACCTACTTTTCTTCTAGTAGCCTTCATTTGCATATATCTGATCACAGACCCAGATAGCACTGCCCGGAGTATGCAGAAGAGATGTCATTAGGCAAGGACAGTTTTAGTACAGAAATGGAGGTTCTGAAGGGCTGAATGGTGGTTGGCAAAAACTCAGAAGATGAACTGAAAAGTGACTGGTGCACACTCTCCTACACCACTTTCATAGATACCTGATGGCAGACAGTGGGTCATTCTTTTTTATATTGTCAATTTTGTCCATTAAAATAAAGTTATGATGAAAGATGATTAAAAGTTATAGGACCAAGAAGTGGAGAAGTTTCAGATAGAAGGGGAAAAAAAAAAACCTACAGAAAGAGGAAGACAGGCAAGCAGAAGGAAAGAGGAGAGGAGAGTTCCTGCACTCAAAGGGGATTCAGAAGTAGATGAGAAAAGAATTATGGCTGTAGAGAGCCAAAGAAGAAAAGAGAAAGATGAGGCATTGATGAATAGAATGATTTGGAGTCTATGTCCATATGATTCACTACCTCTTAAGTGTCCAAAAATAACCTTGTCTGTAAGTGCCATTATTCTGCACTAGGGTAGGAGGTTTTTGTGTCTGAAGACTAACTTTCAACTCTGAGCATTTCTTCCTTTCGATGAAAAGCACCTCCCTTACACATACTATAGCTGCCAGCAGCAATGTCATGTCTCTCTCTAATCCTGTAGTGTCTCTATTTAAAATTTGCTTCCTCTGGTTGTCTGAACCTGCTGACAGAGTACTGCCATTTTTTGTGGGTCTGCAGAAGGCTCACAGGACTTCCAGGTGACTGAGGATGCAACAGCGATGATGTGGGAATCTTTCCTTTCTTTCTTTAGACATGAACAAGTATTGGCAATGTACGTTTTCTTTCTTATAGTTCCTGTGCATTGCTAACAGGCTGGGAATTTCTGTTTCCAGTATTACATATCCAGGACCATGATAACTACTTGTCTGTATTTTCTGTGGTTTGTACAGTTTCTGATGCCCTTTGTGTTCAGAGGTGTTTCTTAGTGATTCAGTCTGTTTCTTCTGCAGTCCAAAATGATGTCTTCATAGTCGGTTCTAATTTAAGAAGAAGAGAAAAACTTATGTATAATGCTCTTCACTTCTGCAACCAAAGGCAATGAGCATTCCACCTAGAAATGAATTAGATTTATTTGGAAATTATAGATTTATTTCTTCCTGACACACAGCTTTCTTATTTCACTGTTTACTGTCCCTAGCTCAGGGTTTAGAGAGTGGTGCAAGAGACTTGGAACCAAGAAAAGCCTTGACATCCAAGTTGTGTCTTCTGTTCAAACTGGCCTCCTATTCACTGTGTGGAATTAGCTCTGCCATTCTCTTAAAATTAATTGACCAAAACCTCTGGACCTACATACAGAACATCATTATGAGACCTGTGTGAAACTGTAATGTGTGTATCTGGGCTATTTCTCTGAGTAGTGGATAAAGTTTTAGAAAATTCTGCAAATAGTAGATCTGGAAGCCTCTTTTCAAAATGACTGTTTATGTCCTGCAGAAACCCGCGTAAGTGGATTAGGATTCAGTGTGCTTCTAAACCTCTGCCAACGGTAACCATAAAGGTTATTTGACCTGTTTTGTCATACATGAAAATTGTTAGGTTATCTGCAACAATTCGTTGTGGAATATTACTCTGGATTATCTGTTTCACTGCCGGCCTTTCAGCGTACATGTGATTGCACTTCAGGGAATGTTATTGCTAGTGACAATTGTTCACTGCAATTTTAGGTAACAATATAACTAAATTGACCTTCTTTGTTTAGAAGCAGAAGTCTGTTAAGAGCTGGTCTAGACCTAGAAATGAGACTGTTGGTCAGATATTTTAACTTTAAAATACTGGGTAATATTTAACAATTAAACAATGAAAACTATTAACTGAAAATTAATCCATCTATTGCTTCCTTTTCTCTTTGCAGTGCAAAGACTATGGTGTTCCCTTTTATATGAAAATCAATATGCATATAAAGTGGATATGGTGTCTTTTAAGATTCAACACAGCCTATATATTTCTAAAGGAGATACTATTCCATGAACAAAGAGGGGAAAATTTCATAATATAGTGTGTTTTCAGATAGTTGGTAGGATTTTTCCTATATTTTTACTAAGAAATGGTGAGATATATTTTCTGAGATTAGCATAGGTGCATAGTCCAGAATGTTGTTTATCTGGGTGTTTTTTTAGTAGTTAGCATGTAGCTCTTCATTTAATTTGGTAGGAGCTAGCAGGTGAATTACAGACATTTAATCTAACTTTCTAATTTGTTACTTACATTACTTTGAAACAAAATCATAGTAATAAAATAATCTTTTAAAATTAAAGATGAGATTTCATGGGCTGGGAGGACAGTTACAGAAAAAGGAAAAAAGTGTGGTACTTAATGTTTCTTCCTATGGTAATATGCATGTGGATTTGAAGCTCATGGTAATGCTGGTTTATTCCCTTAAGCATGATATTTTGCCTGTGATTTTTGAAAGGATCAATCACTTGCAGCAATTTATGTAATAACTTTCTGGTGGGTGACTCTACTACTTTATTTATGCTTTTTGCCTGGTTCACCAGAATGCAATACCTTTGCTCCTTTGTACAGTAAATGCACTCTGTAATATCTTTTATGGTATGGTCAAAGGATAATTTATTGTCAGATTGAAAAATAGGTCAACACTAATGTCACTTGATGATCAACCCCCCAAGTTTAATAAAACACCACACCAGCACGCATTCAGCACAGTGCTTGATGTTTTATTAGGACTACAGTACCTTACAGTACCTAGCTATAGCAGGAGTGTAATTACTGAGCTGTCAGGGTGATAAGTGGGATTAATGGCAGCCTGGTGCACTTTAGTCTGCAGAGTGCTTGGAAGATGGTATTATTATAAGAGAAAGTCTGTACTGGTATATTCATGCCACCCTCCCCTCCTCCCCAAAGCTCACATTCAAGATTGCGTTACCCCCCCCCCCCGCCCTAGTAGCTGACATTTTCAACAGCTGTTATTTTGTGAACCAGCTCAAAAATCAAAAGAGAAATAATTTGGTAAAGATTCTTGCTAGCCACAACGGGTAATCTGTACACAGCTTATCCTGCCAGGTGCCATTCTAGTCAGTTTTGACATGAGATTGTGCTATATATAATCCACAGAGTGTATTTTGTGTTCAGTGCATTTCCTTTGGTCTTGGATACAGGATAGAGTGTTTTTGAAAGAAAACCACACTGTGGAAAGTGAAGAGTAAAAAGTCATAATGGAATTGTTGCCTTCTTTAATGGCGTGATTTTTGACTTCTGTTATTTCCATACTGCCTACACAGGCAAACTGCTGTTCTGAGCCCTCATAATGGTGTTATTTTCTCTAGCATACCTCCTTTTTTGCTGGCTTCTGGTACTAGAACTTTGTTTTCTTTCAATCTGCTTAGAATGCTAAAAGCATCCTCTTGACTCCGTGTTCTGGCCACAACCTTTTGAGGTCCCCCCTGTCCTGCATTTGTTTGTTAAGGCATTTGTAGCATGTCAGTGGGTAGTGCTGGGCCAATGCTCTTCTGACATCCTGACTAGTTGAACTAGTAACCCACTATGGTGTTGAACCTGGATTTGGCTTCTTCAGGTTTCCCATCTTTTGCAGCCTGTGGGACCTGTTTTCTTTAACTATATCCTCTGGGGCCTTTTCTACATGACTAGTCTTGTAAGAAAATCCAAACAGCCCCTACCACATGTGCCTTCAAATTTTTCTGGTGCTGAAGTGTCTGCAATACCCAGCTAGATGATAACGAATAATAAGATGAAAGGTTAATTAATCTTTTACTTAACTAGCTTTGCCTTCTTTCTTATTCCACCCTTAATTGAAAAAATGGCAACAAAAAAAAGCCCCCAATGCGTGCGGTTGACAAAGTCAGGCCAGTGTTTCACTGCAGGTGTTTCAGTCATTTCTTTCCTTTTAATATGCTCTTCATTTCTTTGTACCTGTAGTCCATTGACCTCTTGAGCTTTTCTGTGTTTGAAAATACTCTGTCTCAGCCAGTTCCAGAGTGTTATTACCTATCACCGAATAACAATAATTAAGGTAGACTTGTGGAACTTAAGTAAGTAGTTGGGCTCAAATAATAAGTAAAAACCAAATTTTATTTCATTTTCCATAGATTGTTAAATCGACAGTTAAAATAAATTCTGTATGTAGTAAAGCAATATTGAAAGAGCATCTGAAACAACTTAATGAATTATGAGATAAGTAGTAAGGCATTTGACCTATGATAATCATTGATCTGTAAAAGCAAAACTATTTACAAATACCTTTGTATTTAATAGAGAACAATTTTACTTCTTCAGCTGACTTTTAGCTTTTTGTGGTAGGTTTGCTTACTGCAAATTGTGTAGACTACCCTGAGGGCTTAATCCTTAGATGGGACCTGTGCAAGCAACTGTATGGGTACATCCTCATGGATGACTATGCAGAAACAGACAATCAATCTTTATTATATAGTATGTTTCAATATATAGTCACATTTTGTCATTAAAAATGACTATAAGGGGGTTTTGGGGGTTTTGGTTAGGAGTATGCATAAGACTACTGAATTGTTTTCAGAGGTCATAGACTTATCACAGTAAACATAGAAAAGTGACTTGAAAATTTATCAGCTATTCTTATTCTTTGGACATATAGTAAAAAGTAATTACTTCCTCTGTGGAAATACTGTTGGTTTTTTTATGTTTGATTGTCCAACATTCAGAATTTAATCCACAATGACACTTGCAGAACTTCATTAATAAATTCAGATTCACAACACAAATGTTTTTCAGATAGTTTAGCAATCTTGGATTCCAGGGGAAAAATTACCTCTATGTGATTTGTTTCCTAATACTTAGACATGTGTAGTTCATATGGTTGTAATGGCACCCCCAGCCTTCCTATGTACAGTACAGTCAACAGAACATAACTAACCTGTGTTGATGAAAGTTAATAATGATCATGTGGTGCTTTGAGGCTTTAAATAGAAATTTTATGAAAATACTCTGTATTATTCCTTTGTGGCTTTTCTTCCAGCATGCTAACTTGAAAACCTCATGCTATTGGCAGCATTTGTATTCCATGTCTCCTTGACACGTCTTCTTTTATTCCTGTAGATGCTTAAAGTGTGCAGATGCCCCCTGTCAGAAGAGTTGCCCAACTAATCTGGACATCAAGTCATTCATCACGAGTATTGCAAATAAGGTAAAGTCAGGCTTGCAGTGGTACATGGAGGGAGATAACAGCAGGTACTTGCAGTTCTGTGGGTGAGATTGCATTTCAAGGTTTATCTTTGTAAAGTCTTCAAAAAAAATGTTTGGAACAGATGTTTTGAAGTTTGAGTCAGCTAATTTTTAATTATTTTTACTTCTGTTCTATGCCTGTACAGATATGTATAGTGCAGATCTATTTCATGTCCCTTTTTATAAAGTCTTTGGTTTTGATGGTTTTCAAATACAGTGATATTCAAAACCTTGAGCATTATAATGTCATTATTTAACCTTTCTACTTCCTGAGGTATTATAGTTACAAACCTTTTCGTTCATTAAAGGTGGGGGTTTTGGAATAGTTTTCTTTTATTTTTTAAGAAGTGATTGTAGTTTAAATTTCCTTTGGGCAGAAATTTGGTATGGAGGTGGTCATCTCAAGGAATATTTGCTTGTACTTTATAGTAAGAGGCTCTGGTTAATGCAAATGTGGTCACTCACTAGGACTATTAATAGCATACTACAGGAATAAATGGAACTCCCTCTTTGGAGATACTGTACTTTTTCCTTTTTTAATAGGCTGCTATACTGTGATCATAATGAAATCTTAAAAACATTATTCTGAATTGTGGTTTACAAGTGACTTTTAATGGGCAGAAATAAATAAAGATTACTGCAAAGTTGATGTGACAAGATTAATTAGGCTGTCTGGGATAGCCTAAAGATGACTGGATATTGATTGCCCCATACCTTTTAAAACTTACTTCCCATCTGTGGAATCATTAACTGCCATGTGATTTATTCGTCTATATAAGCCCAACTAGATTCATAATCTACTGAGGGTGCTACAAAGATTTTGTCTGCCTTTTATGCTCTAACACGTCTCACTCTTGGATGCAGCTGAAAGGGCCAACACAGGTAAAGCTGGAGTGAAGTTGGTGGGCAACAGCAGCACTTCCATGTGCAAGTGAACAACCGCATTGATTTTACTATTCTGTGTGTGACACCAGTAAATTCTGCACCTTAACAAGCATAAGAACAGATATTAAAATGTGTGTATCAATTATAATGTGATGTGATTTGCAGTAATTGGTATTATGCCCAATATATGCCTATAGACAGTTTTCTTATATAGTCTATACCCTGTCACTGCTGCATTTATTTTCATGAATGTAGACATCTGTTTGCGACCATAGTGTAGTTTGTGGCATATTGCTGCTTATTACCTCTTCAGGCATCGTGGAGCAGGCAAACTGAGCAGAGAAGGTACAAGGCAGTAATGAAACTGCTACTCTCCATCTCATCATTGTGCTGTAGTTTGTTTAGGAAACCTAAAGCAAATTTTATGGAAGTATTTTACCAGGATGGTCTTTTCTTATTAAGGATTAGTTATGCTACTGCTTTGAGTAGGATAGGGTGATATGTTGTTGAGGAAAGAAAAAAGGGCCTAATTATCAAAACATAAATCTGGGAATAAGCAACCAGGGAAGATGGATTGAAGACTGTAACTGAAGGTGTCAGAAAAAGAACTAACACCAGCAACATCCTGGTACAATAAATTTGATGGGTCTCTTAGGCTCTGACTGCCTCGACTATATGATGCCACTTTGTGACTTGACAGAAGGGGTAAGTCATTTTAACAGCTGATTCGTTCTGAATTCTGTGGTTCCATTACAGAGCAGAGAATATCAAGGTGGGGTGACTGCAGAGCTTTGAGAGTTGTGGTTTGGCAAAGGTATACTGGAATAATAATAGTAAACTGCCTCAGAGGTTTGAAGTAAAGTCTTTGCCCTGCCAAAGCCAATGAGTACAGTCTTACTGATTTTAATAGGCCCAAAATTAACCTGTCAGATGGTCAGTGAGGTTGATCAACCTTTTAAAGTTTGGGCTGTTTGGTGATGACTTTTAAATCCTCTTGGAAGCTGCAGGTGCTAGGAAGACAATGGTTTTGCCCTAAGCAGGTGACCTGATCACTTGGTGTTTTATCAGAAAATCCTGCTATAGAAAATAATTGCAATGTCCTACTTTTCTCTCAGGAGATTTAGCACTTTTTTTTGGTGGAAAAACTGAAGTATCTTAGATTACTGAAATGTAACTATAGCATGTCTTTTTGGACCCTATCCATATCTATCAATAGCTTCTGTATCCACTCTGAAACTAGATTTTATAAAAGGTATACAACAGCTTTTGGTAACTGCTTTTACCTCATGTTGATGTCTGGTTATTGTGTAGGCAGAAGGAAACATTCAAACACAGGAAGTTTTAAAAAGTCTTACACTTAGTTTCTGCTGTTCAAGATGTTAGGATGGAAAATTGCATGCCTAAAATCAGTGCTGCTTCTGTGAAATCAAGTTTCAAGTGTGAGTTTACATACAGTCTTACCCTCTGGTTTCTTGCCTTACCCTGTTGGAAGGAATCTTATATAGCAGCATGGTTGTGGAAGCAGTTCTCTGCAACAGCTCTAACGCTGACTTTAAAAACAAACAACCAGAAAACGAAACCAAAAACCAAACCCCCCCAAATTAGAAGTGAGTAAAACCCACACTGGGATATGCTTAGCAAGTAGCTGAATTTGTGGACTAAGAAACAAGACTAGGAAGTCCTGCATGTTCTCGGCAGGCATGTTGGAAATAGATGATCTTCAAGGTCCCCTTCCAACCCAAACCATTCTATGATTCTGTTTGTAGCATCCATGTCAGTGGCTGTGCTTCCTGTAATTCATGTACAAAGCAACTTAAGGAAATTACAGGGCACAGAGGGAACACAACCTTGACTTGATGACTGCAGTCTGCTATGCTGAATTTTCCTTTTGATGTATTAGTTTCTGGTGCCTTTGCTAAGGCACCTGTTATTCAGAAAAAGTAACAGGAAATTTTTCTGGTTTCCTTTATTGATTGAACTTTTGTATAGGTATAGGAATGTACTACAGTTTTTACAGTACTACACTTTGAAACTCCTTGCTTTCTGTCAGGCAAGCAATAGATATAAGGTGGAAGTTGAGAGGGGTACCAGAGGTTGCAGCGATCCATGACCGTGGTAGAGTCTGTGTGAGAGCCCACTACCATGGCTGCTCTTGTGGTGTCCTCTGCCCTCTTTCATTCTGGTGTTGTGGTGGTACCTGCACCATACACTTTTAGAGCAGATAGAAAACAAGAATAATGTGCTTTTGAACACTAAACTTGTAATTTGTAATCTTGAAAGTTTTTAACATAACCAGTAAGTAACTTTTCACTTTATTGTGCATTTTGCTAAACTTTTATTGAAATAATCACTTGGATATCATTCAGCAGTCTGAATATTCAGCTTGAAGAATATTTCTGTATTACTGTCACAGAAGTACTTCCTTAATATGATCAATGATGTTTAACATGTCATTGAAAATACTTTTCAAAATGATAAATCTGTTTTTGCTGTTTTCATCTTGTAAATAAACTTCCTTTTTTAATCCAAAAGCTTATAAATATATATGGTAGCTTCTAGAAAATTAAATAGGCGAAGCATAGAACATTCAGGTGTTTGAGGTCAATAAATTCAGGAAATGTGGATGTGTTTTCTAGACTTATTGAAGTCCCTGTCCTGCTTCTGAGTCTCTCTTCTTCACTCACTTGAGACACTCACTTCAGCTAGCTACCTTTCCACTTGTTTAGAGAAGATTCCGTTCAATAAATTCCTTGTCCTTATCCTTGTGTAAGCAGTGTTGCACGCAGGTATTTATTTAAACATGATTCATTATTAATATAGAGTATTTAGACAGCAGCGTACTGAAAATGAATTACTTTGTGAAGTATTTAAGAGCTCTATTGTATGCAGTTTGTTTTGTTGGAAAGCAGCTATGGCAGTCATAAAAGGTCAGGGATTCTTGTTCGCTTAAGCCTGAGGCTTTTTAGATATTTACAGGCCATGTACAGTGTAGCTCTTCTGGCTGTTCTGCCATTAGACCTGAGCTCAGGAGTAGAAGAGGGACAGGGGAGGAGGGTTGTTTCTGTGTTGAGAGGGTAATTGAATTGCCAGACTCAATGAGCCTTGAGCCTCTTCAAGAAAAAGGACGTCACTTATGCTGTATTGTGTTAGCTGCTGCAACTCAGTAGAGTATAGGCCACAACTTCCATTCTCTTTTTCCATACAAACTGTATTACAACTCCACTTTATAAAGGTACAATCTATTCTATTGTGTCTTCCCAGTTCGTGTGTCTCAGTTCATATAGACTGCTTGCAATTGAGTCTTTCAGAGACCAGACTTCAAATTCACCATGCACACATCACTACTTTTATTTATAAATATCAGAAAATGGCAAACAAGTATTCTGACTTCCAGCTATCCTCTCTTTAAATACAGCCATCACATTGCAAAGTGTATATTCTTTGTTTTATAATGCACAAGTGCTTAGTTGTTTATTTCTTTAAAAGAAAAAAAACCAGAAACAAACACTAGAAAAACCCCAGATATGTTCAACTGCTGCAGGAGAAAACTTTGTACCATAGCCCTGAATGAGTACCAGGAGTGATTTTAGGATTTTATGTCCTCCTTTCCCTGTGTTGATATGTCAAAGCGAAAAGGAATTGGTAAAATGGAGCTCTGGCACTTGTCATCCTTTAGAACTGGCACAAGCAAATGTTTTACAGCAGCAGAAAATCCTAGTTTCCCAGAAGCATCTTTCAGCCTGAACACTTCCAGGCTGTCCAGCTTTTCTCCTGTTCAGCAAAACCATGTGCCAGAGAAACCGCCCTTTAGAAAGCAACTGTTCCTCACATGCTCACCACCTTTGAACTGTTCAGTGAGAGTGTCTTGGAGCTTTTTGTCATCAGTCACCTTTATGGTTGAGTAGTAGCATTGAAAAACAACTCTTGGTGGGGATATTAACTTTTGTTACACAGCACAGGCGTAAGGTGTGAGTGAAGAATGAAGAATTGAGGATGCAGAAGTATTTTTTGTGTTATCAGTCCTTAAAGAACACACTTTGTTGCTGTAGCCCTCTGTTACCAGCTCTCAAGACTTGA